GGTGTGGGCAAATAGGGGGGGGTGTGGGTAAACATAGGGAAGCTCCCCGATGTCCAGGTGAAGAAAGCAAGTGGTCCTTGCTTGGCCCAACGAGGCCCGAGCCTGGTTGCCTCGCGCATTTGGGGCCCTTGCAGATTGAGTTGCGAGGGTTGAATATAACCCTTGCAATATATTCCCAATTTAATCCCAATAGATATCCCAATATACACCCCAATATGGTAGGCCAAGGACAAGGTTGGCGATTTTCCTGACCGGGCTGGCAGATTTCTCACAAAAGGGCTCTAGCTCAGGAAGGTGCAGGAGAACGGCTACTTTCCGGAGGTTCGACTGAAGAATGGTGAGGACAGGCGCTGCGTTGCCTGGGGTGGCGGAGCGGGCTTCAACGGACAGCAGTAAGAGTAGAAACAGAAACAATAGTGTATAACAAGAGTGTTTATAGGAATACATAGTAAATCATAGTAATAATAGTAATACTAGTAATAGTACAACGAGCTGAAGATTTTTGACAACGGGAGCTCGCTGCAGCTTGTTTGCTCAGCTGTTACAGCGACTGGCGCTTGAGAACATCTACAAGATGCAAAACACTACTGCCTGCCCTTTCTCAAAGTTTCATTCTTGCGCTCTTGGATCTTGATTCAGGGAACCTTAGAGTGCCAGCCTGTTGCAATATCGACGTTGTTATTCATGTATGTTCTGCATACGTGGAAGCTTTCGTGATGCTTTTTGATAGGTAGCAACGACTTGGTAATCGTAGCGTTAATAATAATCGTGAACATTTAATACTTGTAAAAGCAGTAAGACGAATAATTGCAGTAGTAGTCGTAGTCATAATAACACCCATGCACAGAGGACCAGGTGGTTGCAATCCGCCGCACGGTGTCAGAGCACCTTCGACTGTCGCAGGCGCGGTTAGATGTTGTTGAGTCGACAGTCCATCTCCTGCTGGAAGCAAATGAGAGCTTGGGTTGGGCTGGTGTTTCCTTATGGTTACTATGTTGTATTATTGGAATTCTTGTTCCTATTCTTATCATTGCCATGACTCCTACTATTCCTACCCCTACTATTACTGTTGTTGCTGCTGCTGCTACTGCTACT